TAGTGGCCCAAACAGTATTCGGGCATTATTGGGGCACTCTGCCAGGTCGAGGCTTCATTATCTGGAGGGCTACGGGTTGGAGGGTTAAGGGAAGGATCTGCAGAGTTTAAGGTAGAATCTGCAAGGTAGGGTTTTGGAGGAGGGTCCGCAAGCAAGCGTTTGGTGAAAAAAATTGTAGGGTAGTCTATCTACCGAGTTATGGTTTTTATCGAGTCCAGCAGCAGTCAGTCATTGACAGGCTTCTTGTTTGCATATTCAGAAACCTCCCCCCCGCCCCCTCAATTTCAATGTGTGCCGCAATGTGTGCCGCAATGCTCATTGGGCGCTTCTATGTGAGCATTGAATTTGGGGGGAGCGGGGGGTCTGGAAGGTTCAAGATTTGTGCACAAACAATTCAAAATTGTACTATCGCGCGAGGCCATTTTCAGTGTTCGAAAAACCACGAAAACTCGGACGCATTAAGGTACCCCCATAGTCAGTTGCCGCCTTGCTTGCCATGCTGTGGCAAGTAGTTGTCATGACATCATGGTCAACGGTCTCAAGCTGACCACGCACAGACTCCGCGCACGGCTAGAAGGTTGTTTTTCGAGCAAAGCGCCAATCCAATTGGGAGCGTCTTTGTCCAAAGGTTTTCGATCCATTCTAAAGCCATTTTCGAGCTCCAAAAACGAAGCCCAAATGGGGTCCCCCTTAATAGTTTCCAATCAGGCGGTCTCAGCTTTGGGAACCAATTTTTGGCCTCAAAATGGGAACCAACCCGAGCTAAAAAACTGCGGAATTCTGCGAGGGAGACGTGTTTGAAGCTTTGACCAAAGTTTTTGCCTGACATGCGGACCAGTGTCGCGAGCGACCGCGTCTGTTGTTTGCCACTCTAACAGTAATGTTCTGTGGCTTCAGCTCTGCACGAAAAAAAAGAAACTTCCGCAACTGGAGAGGTCTATGTGGCGCACACGTCTTCGAAGGGTTTTTTCGGTTTCGAACATGAACCCGTCAAATCTGTCAATGGAAGAGTCCAAACAATTTTGCCTTGTGCAGCTTACAATTTCGGTCTCCGTGGTCGGCATCTGCCGTTGACAAGGCCCGATCACGTCTTCAAAAAGGGTTTTTTCAGTTCCATTCGTCACAAGTCTTGGAGTTTGCCAGAGCCAAAAGTCAAAGGTCGCTCTGGAAAGACACTTGTCATGAATTCTCATTTTTTGATGTTTGTCCATTCAGAGACGCGCAATGATTTTTTGAAAAGTTTTCCATTCGTGGCATTGCACACGGACCCTGAAACAATTTCATTGTTTTTTCAGTTTCGATTGACTTTAAAGTCCGGCGATGGTCATTGCTGTTCAGAGCGTTTTTCCGCGCAGTCCGAATCTTGAGGGCGTCATGTTTCTTCGGTGTAAATTGTCGCGAGTACTTGCAATGTCTGGTTGGTTTTGGATAGCAACTTTTTGTGTTGTCGTTAATTCAGTTTCATTCACACAGCGGTTTGTTTCTGGGGAAGCATGTATTGGCAGGTAAATTTTTCGATGTCGGTGGTGTTTTTGGGATCGTGTCCAGACAAAATAAATACAATGACCGTGTGTTGTTGAGTTTCCTCCGTTTGTGTGACTAGTTCTACCAGTTGTTAAAAGGTTGGTGTTGCGCAGAGCAGTCGGACCGTCAGCCGCTGATGTCATTACCATGCTGAGGCTTGACAGAAATTCCGTACACCTGTCTGAAACTTCAGAACATAAAAGTGGCGTTGTTAAACACATGCAAATGATTCCAATGAGATTCAGATTTTGCTTCATCGAAAGTTTAGCCTAGCAGTTGTCTCCCCAAAAGCTCACCCCGTAGCTCCGGAGCATTCAGATTTGGATAACTTGGATACGAAGGTGTTGGTCATGTTTGACAGTGCAAAGGCTGATGACATGTGGAGACGAAACCACGCCTGGAATGCGGAATTCGTTGCGATTCGCAGTCCGCTTTTTTTTGTATCTGTCGTTCGCTCTTTCGCCGGTTCTCAAGATCTTGGTGAAATTGTGTGCATTGCGAGAACAGACAGCTACCTGCAGTGCCGTGCATCACGATGCTGTCGTTTTTGGTTGTTCAGATGCCATTGCTCATGTCGAGACACTATGACGTCTTGGATTAAGCCGGGCATAGCAGTGAAGAGTCCTGTTTGCAGGCTCTGCAGCAATGGCAGCTTCGACATGTGGAACGCCACTACAACAACTTTTGAGCAGATCTGCATCAATGTTTCCCGAGAAGATTGCCATCAGAGCAGACAGCGGTGATATCACATACGGCAACTTGCTCTCACTTGTTGGACGAGTGGCCTCTGCTTTGAAGGGGTCGGGCATCGCTAGAATGGATCGAGTTGGATGGCTGTTGCCGAATCGCCTTGAAGCAGTTGCCTGCACATGCGCTTGTTACTACCTGGGCGCTGTATCTGTTCCGATCAATGTCAGATATGCGTCAGAGGAGGTTGCGTACATGGTGAGCAAGGTCCAGGCCAAACTTTTGTTCATGGAATCCAGCAAGCTGGATGTCCTGCAATTCCTCCCTGCCCAGATGCAAATCGTTGCAGTTGGTTTGAAAACGGCAGTTCACCACAGAAGCTGGGAAGAGTTTCTGCAAGCTGGTGGGCCAGCGAGCTTGCAACCAGTTGACTCCCAACATCCTGCATTGATTCTTTTCACCTCAGGTTCCACAGGCTGTCCCAAAGGCGTTTTGCATTCTCATGCCTCTTGTTGGGCTGCCATCAACACTTCGGCAGAGATGCTTCAATTAGACGAGGATGAAGTCGTGCTGGTGGGCAAGGCAATCACCCATGCGGGCGGACTGCAAACACAACTCCTTCCAACTTTGCAGGTGGGAGGCACCGTGGTACTCGCCATGGTCCCTCCGCCGGCCAGGGCGGTAGAATTGATCCAGCGTTTCGATGCGACTGTCTATGCAATGCTCGCGAGCTCCTTACTGGACTTCGTGGGACATTTGGAGACCACTCGCCAGAAGCTCCCAAGCTTGAAGAAAGTCATTGGCTCTGGTGACAGCGTGCCACTGCAGGTCCAAACGCGATTCCGTAATCTCTTTGGCTTTCCAGTTTTGGAAGGGTGTGGAATTACAGAAATCGGGGGATACTTTGCAATGCAGCCGATTGGGAAGGAAAGGCTTGGTTCGATTGGCCTTCCAACAAACGGAACAGAGGTTCGCTTCGTTGACGAGGAAAGCCATGATGTTCCCCTGGGTTCACAAGGAGAGGTCTTGCTCAAAACTCCTTCTGCAGCCATCGGATATTGGGATGACCCCGCCGCCTCCTCTTCCCTGTTTGAGGAAGGCTGGCTTCGGACAGGAGACATAGCCCGCGAGGATGAGGACGGCTACCTGTGGTTTGTCGGGCGCCGCAAGCTCATTATTGTTCGTCGAGGCTCCAACATAGCACCCGCTGCAGTTGAGAGAGTGTTGGCTGCACACCCGGAGGTGCACTCATCCGTGGTCGTTGGAGTCCCCGATGAGTTAGATGGTCAAGTGCCGGTTGCGTGGTTAGTGCCGAAGACAGCATCCTGCCCTCCCACGGTGACCTCTTTGAAAGAGCACATGTCCGAACGCTTAGCTGCTTTCGAAGTACCTGTGAATTATTGGCTCCTCGACGACATGCCGCTGAACAGTGTTGGAAAGTTTGATCGCGCAAAGCTGCAGCAAGCAGCCAAAGAGAAATATGAGATTTTGCTACACGCGAACCGGGCCGGTGCATAGGACAACTTTGAGAGCAACCTGTTTCCTGAACATCGACTGCTGTGCTTGTAAAGTGAGTTTTGCACGGCGATGCTCCTTAGCCTGATCTGTACAGTAAAGAAGTCGGCCAAAGTTGCTACACTCAGGCCTGCTGTCAGCCTCATCTTGAACCTGATTGGTCACATGTTCCTGCTGCAGGTTTCTCGAAAAGCTGCGAGGGGGGCCCTTTGGTCTGTCTGGGAAGTTTCCAGGTTGCGGTAAGTAAGGCTTAAGGCTTAAGGTTCCTTTCAAGGGTGCTATAGGCTTCCTGTTTTGGGGTTTCCTTCAAGGGTTCCGTTGCTGGCGATGCTCGCGGACTTCAGAAGCCTTGCTTATCAAAGGCTGCCGATAACAGCATGGAGTATGACGTATGAGCATAGAACACCACAAACGGCGACATCGTCAGTGATGCTAATGTTGCGGGGCTTAAGCATTACTCTAATGCGGTGAGATAGCAAGGCAAAATTGTTTTATGGTTCTCGATAGCCATGCAGATGGTCGTTCTTGCAGTATGGTATTGAGTGCACGACGCAGCACGAGATCTCTACCTTTTGCGCCATCTCAAGCGGTGAGGCCAGGGGCCAGGGAGATCATGTAGTCGTCAGTACGCACTACGCAAGTCTGATACCGGCTTTTGAGCGCTTCCAGCTTCAGACGTTGGCAGGGATTGAGCTTCCTCCGTTCGGGTTTCGGATTCTTGCCATGGCGGCTGCGGCAGAGGCCCAGAGAGAGGCGCAGAACCACCGTGCTAGGTCGATGAGTGCAGGGTGCAGAGCAGGAGCATGTTTTTGCGGCTTGCGCTTCAGCTTTCTCTGCATTGCACTTGACTCTGCAAACCTGCCATGCCGGCTATGCACTCAAGCCCTGATCCCCGAATCCATCCCCGAGTCTTTTTCTTTCTGGCCCGGCAGTGCCAAGCCCGATCAAGATACATTCCGAAAATACATTCCTGTTCTACACGTGGCGCGGGAGTTTCACTTGCAGTGACTGGTGAAAGATGTGTATCATGCCAGCCGCAGATGACAGAGGACAGCCGGAGGCCCAAATCGTAGATCAAGACCCCCAACTCCCAGTACCCTCAACCCGGATCGCGCATCACACACGCACCCTAAACCCTAAAACCCTGCACAGATAACTACAACTCCCCACCAATCCGGCCCTCAACCCCCTAAACCTATCTAAACCCCTACAGCCCCAAACCTTAAAGGGCCCTTAACCCTTTTCGCGCCCCTTGGTATGGAACACTCCGTGCCATGGCGGGAGAGCTCCACGCTTCGGCACAGACCCAGGAAACCAAAAAAACCTTCAATTCAATAGTAACCGGCCCTTTATTAAGGGTGAAAACCTTTAAGGGGAATCCTCCAAGGAGCCCTTAAAGGGAACCCTTAAAAAATTTTTTGACAGGATCCTGTAAAGGACCTTACACCCCGAAGCACTAAAGGAGCATTGCGAGGTCGGTGTTGAGAAGTGTTTCTGTTCCTTTAAATGGGGTCTGTAAGGGTTACTAAGGGTACTATAGTAGAGGGGCTTTAATAGTTAGAATTAGAATAGGGTTCCACAGAGGGTTATCAAGCGTTTTGCTACAAAGGTTGCGGTAAGGGATCTACAAGGCACGAGGGTTTTATGTTAGGTTAGGGTCTTGGGTTGAGGGTTGGTTGGGGGTATCTCAGCATTGGGGATTTATGGTTTATGACCGGGTTTTTGGGTCTTATGGCTGCACGGGCTCTGCTGTGGGGTTCCGGGTTCAGCGAGGTGCGGTGGTGAGGAGGGAGGTTTCCTTACCCTACGAGTGGGTGGTTACACCTTCTCCGACTTTGTTGGAGTTTGCAGACTCGAGGACTCGAGGGGTAAATGGTTGCGGCAAGAGTGGTAGAAGAGTTGGTAAATGCCTTCCTTACCGTGCAAAGAGAAGGTGCTGCGACGACGGCGACTGCTACTTACAATACCAGTTTTCGTGCCAATCGCTGCTGCAACCAATGGTACGTCAGCACAAAGTAGCCATCCGGATGACCATCAAGACAGCATGAACATGAAAGGTATTCAACAGGACCCGCAATGACAGTTACAGCCATGATTATCTTTGCAACTACATTCATGCTCAGATCAGCAAAGGTTGTTATCACTATGGCAACAGCAAGCACTAGGTAGTTTGGCAGATGTAAAGATGATGATCACTGTAGCTTCCTATCCAGGAGTCCATCTTCTCTGCGAGTTACTGGAGGCAGCTCTGCCCGGAACTACATGTCGAGGACAAGAGCTTCCAGGTGCACAGTTGGAAGTTTCGCGAACACGAGTTTTACAGTATGGCTTCATGTGTGGAGGGTTCCAACTGTGTGTGTGTGTGCGCATGTGCGTGCGTGCGTGCGTCCGGGTGTGTGTGTGTGTGTCACAAACTAGTGATCGTTTGACATGAGTGGTAGAACAGACAGCACTTGTGAGAGTCATGAGGCATTTACATGATCAAGATAGAGAGCCTTCCGACCTGGGGACGTTTGAAGACATCCCTGAGGCCGAAGTTCTCGCGCGGGATGGTCGATCCGTTGCAGCCGTGTCGGACTGCCGTGAGGACAGCCGGTTGGAAGTTTGGTTGTACCATCATCGTCATCAACATCATGATGGCTGTTGTTGCATCATGACGAGAATCTATTTGGTTCTAGTCTAGATATATTAAGAGATCGTTTCCCTCCCCCTCCCTTCCATTTCCTGACTATATGAGGAAAAATATCCCTCCCCCTCCCTGCCCGCACGAAATATCGGCCACCCCGAGTGCGAAACAAACTTCGAGTGCGAGATATACGGCAAAAACTAATGCAAACGATATATCGATCTTCGAGCATTCGCTTCAACGTCTGAACTAATAGTAATATCAGTAACAATACTAATAACCCGACAATAGCAACCCCAACGATTAGAACAACAATGCAACACCACCACCACCACCAAGAAGAAGAACCCCGAGATCCACCTGCGAATCATGACTAGAATCTCTAGCAACACCAGTATGGTCGTTCTCACAACCATGATCAGCATGACCATCATGGTGCTTGGAATGGTGGTGTGCCTGACAAGAGCGAGACTCTCCGACTTAGACTGTTGCTGTCATGATTTCTGTTGATTGTCAGTGTCACATCCTAGCCTTGTAGGAAGAAAGGGCGAGACTGCCAGGACCGACACAGGGATAGTAGCTGCCTCTCGTGCAGGTGCGGGCCCGCATCCTGGAGGAGGGATCCTCGGATGCAAGCCGAGGGCTGGCGGTTTCGATGGAACCCTACATCCTAGATCCAGCAAAACCGCTAAGCCCCCTCAGCCCTTATCGCAACCCATGGCCCTTTTTGCAACCCCTTATAGAAGCGCCCTCAGCGCCGGAGCCGAGGCTTTGCCGCTCTCTCCCCGGCCCAGCTGTCGTGGACGGCGCCTGTGGGCCGCCTTGCTCAGGGCGTGCCCTGGCAGCTGGAGGGCTGGGGTTCCAGGGTTTGGGATTTTACATGTCTTGCATGTTCACTTTGCAGTTTGGGATGTTTGGGGTTTGGGTTGATGTAATTTCATGTTTATTTTACAGCACACATTGCAAGTTTTCTGGGGATTTACGGTGCATGTCCTGTGTAACTAGCTCTGCTGCACAACAACGGCCCGGCAGGCACTTGTGTGCGCATCTCAGAATTTGCCCACATGATTGAACAGACTTCCGACAGGAGAATGTTTGGGACGAAGTTTTTGCGGCCTCCGACTAAAGTGTTGATACTGGCCGCGCTTGATCGTCTCCTTCACCTTTCTCTTAATGCGAAACTTAAGGCTACTTATGTTATAACCTTGATCGTCTTTTGTGAAAATAGGGCTTTACTTCGCATGTACTTGTACTACGTAATTCAATGAAGATACTGATACTCGTAGTTATGTTCTCAACACCAAAGCACATGTTAAACTTCGTACTTGTGGGCCTGAAGAGACTGGGAGATCTGGGCTGTTCAATGATTGAAGCTAGAGAGTGGAAAAATCCTGATTCGTGTTCCGTGTCCGCCGGTTCTCATAACCCAAACCCTCAACCGCTGAAGGTGCTGCAGCTGGAGCAGCACGGCTGGCCGGCCACGCGCAACGCTTAGCTCTTGGCTTGGTCAAACTAGGGTGTGTTGGGGTACTGTCTACGACTGTCTAGTAAGAGTCTCCCGGAGGTCGATGCATCGAAGCCTAGTTGTAAGAGCCGGAGATTGTCGTAAACCCACTATGGGCCCGAAATCCGAAGGTCTGAACCTTCAATCATTTCTGGGAATTTTCACTTCGTCATGCTCTAAAGAACTTCAGTCCCAAGCCTCAGTCTCAGGCCCCTTCAAATCCAGATCCGACTGAAGGTTCATTGCGCTCTACGACGAAGCTTGGGCCATGGCGAGGCGGCTGCTTATCGTCACGATTCTTCTTACCGAAACGCCAAACCGTTATAGTAGAAGCCATAAAGTTGGAACGTGGCTTTAGGAGGATTAGTGCTGGGATCCCTTATACTTTACATTAAGGCCATTTGGATAATGGTGTTCCAACTTTCTGGCTTCTACTATAGGCCTTTGATCGCTTAAAGCCCGAAAGCCCTCAACCCCGAACTCGAAACCCCCAAATCCAAAGTCCTCCTTTGCTGTTCTGATCGCCTTCACAAGACTCCTCCTCCCAACTCGCACAAAAACGTGACGCTACAACGATGAGCAATGCTCCTTTGCTTCGGGAGCGCCAGCATCCCGAATCCCTACAACTCGGGCACTAGATTGAGACCAGGGACGCCGGCGCAGTGATGCGAGAAGCCACCGGCAACAGCACCCGGGATGGTAAAAGTGGTCTTCGCGGGCTTGCGCCATTCATCTTTCCCAGCCGAAGGTGGCTCTTAATTAGGCGCCAGGTCTTTGAGGCTTGTGACTTACTTGCAGACAAAGAGACGGAGGCGCCTTAGCAACAGTCCCAGGCCTGTGCATGGACGTGGTGGGTTTCCTGGTGCGCCCGTCGCAGACGAAGGGCTTCTCTCCCCACCGCGACAGGTCGGCTCTTTCGTGTCGCTTGGGCTTCTGGACGGAAGGGTGCAAGGACCAGTAACAATCAGGCTACTCCAAACGCTCTGAGTGCTAATTCATAGAGTGAATAGCGGCCGTAGAAGTGGCTAGTTGTCGTCGTCGTAGTCGTCGTGAGAGGAGGAGCAACACCGGCTGATGCAGCAGAATCATCGCATTCGGTGTGGCAACACAACGACGCATCGTAGTGATGGTCTGATGATCACCATCTTCGTCTCCATCATCGCCATGGTAGGTAAATCCCCTCGCCAGGCAGCCCGAGGACTGGACCCCAAAGGGCGTACCGCCTGAGACGTCGGCCACTTTCAAGGCAGCGCCTCGCCAGGGAAAGAGAGAATCCATACAATTTTCCGAAGCATCAGCTTCAGCTTTCTCTTGAGCCCCAGCCCGACGCTCGCAAGCAGTAGCGTGAACAGATGAGATCCGGTGGCACAGCTGCAAGCATAGAGAAGGCCCTGCCTTCTCTGCGCTTCGAACCGCAACCCAGGACGGCATGGCCAAGTACGTGACGCTCTGGGCAGCACTCACGGATGCCACACCTGAGAACTCCTGAGCTTTGGCTTGCAGTTCTCGTGTCCTACAGAATTCCCGGGCTCTTTACACTGCGATGCTGGGGCCTCAATCCGAAAGCCTCCGATGACTAGGGCCGCTGCTGTAGCTTCGGAAGTGGGGAGGACAGTCTGTGCAGAATCTCGAACCTCTGGAATGGCACCACCATGCTGAGCACATGCCAAAGGCACTTGTTGAGGGAGGCCCCATGATCTCCAAGGCCGCGCAACACGTCACCAAACGTTTGTCATCATATGCTCCACAAGGTAGCAGGCCTGCAGTAGATAGCATCCTAAGCCCTAACCCCCTAAACCTTAAACTTCCTAAGCCCTAGGAAATAGTAGCAAGCCTGGGGCCCGGTCTTCTGCAAGTCCTGAAGCCCTCCGAGGCCTGCACTTCGTACCCCGCTCCTCTGATCCGGGTCCCTCGGATGCAGGGAGGCTTAAGGCCTTAAGGGTTCTAGAATAGGGTCCCTCAGGGTTCCATAGTAGGGTCCCTTTAAAGGGTGCTATCGGCTTCTAATAGGGTCCTTTACAGGGTACTGCCGGCTTCTATAGTAGGGTCCCCTTTTACAGAGCACAGTTGCTTCGGCTTCGAGAGCTCCGGAGCTTACCTCAAGACCGTCGTTTCGCATCTGGGCATCATGTTTCCAGGGTTTCGGGGTACATGATACTACAATCACGAAGGCACCCTAAGAGAGTCTTATGTCCATGGCAGCTCTTAAAAGGATCTTCTGCAGGCTACTCTGCAGGAGATCCGGATGATGGAGACCCGATGCTGCGAATCTTCCAAGACAAGGCCTCAGAGGAGGGTCGCGAACCTGGGTTTTTGTCGGTATGTTTCTTTGGCAAGGCTCGGGCATCTCTCCAAGATATGTTCTTCTTGCAGGATGTGTCGTTAAACAGGGTCGGGTGCCGGTTGTGGAACTGTATCTTTTGTAGGTGTGGTTACATACGCATACACATGCACATACACATGTACGGGTGTCTCCACCCCTGTGCACTTGCTCACTTGCTCGCTCTCCGTCCTTTTGTCTATCGCTCCTCTTTCCTTCTTTCTCTACATGGATTGTGTTCCGAAAGGTATGTGTACGTGGTGTATAGGCAGGCACCACGCGATTGAAGACTTCGAGAGCCGACAGGCCGCCTTTCAAAGCATCCGCAGTGCTCCCGTCGCTGCCGGAGGCGCCCGGTGCACTTCCTTCGTCTTTCACTTGGTTTGTCTAACCTTAGACGGTCCGGAAGCAAGAGTTCTGTGAAACGTTGAGCCCCTCAAAGCTCTTGTCTGCAGTGGAACATGAAGCCTTCAACAAAAAGCCGTATGGCAGACTTTCTTCTTGTGGAGGACTATATACAGACCTTTGCAGGTGCATGATGTTTGTTGCTGTGCCATGAAGTACTATGTCCGATCACGGCATAGTATCGTTTGCCTTAGTGTATGCCGCTTTGCAAATGAATGCGGTCACGGTGCGGTATAGTACAGTCTGGTATCCTAAATGCTTAAGCCTGAACCGTAATTAGAACCCTAAGACATCCTGTCCTGTCCGTTAAGTCCTTAAGCATTAACCCTAAGCCCTATACGCTAAAGCCCTAAAGCCCGGCCAGCCCTGGGAGGTTGATTGTTTTAAGGCCTTAACCCTAAACAGCCTACACTCATCTCCACCTAAAGCCCAAAAGCCCCAAAAGCCCTGGGAGGTTGCACCTTTCACACGCACCGCACCATCCACTGGGGCTCCAAGGGCCGCCGCCACGGGGCGACGGAGCCTCGGATCGCCCTCTCCTTCGGTGGCTTTGGCTAAGGAAGCCGAGGCTCCTTTAAGGGGTCGGTTTCAGGGTTGCCATACTGTAAGGTTACTGTAAGGGGTCTCTTTAAGGGTTAGTATAAGGGGTCGATGTAAGGGTTACTATGGGGCTTCCTTTCAGGGTTATTGTAAGGGTAGGCTCGGGGTTTGGGGTTTTGGAGTTTTGGAGTTTGGGGTGTTTGGGGTGTTGGGTTTACTACCGAGTGGGAGGATTGCTTTCTTTCGAGGCAGCAAGGTAGCCGGTAGCCCTTATCTTCATAAGGCCGCGTACAATATCGGTGCTTCGGGTTTTCAGGGCCTTGGGGCCACTGTTTACGGTGTCAAGGAATATGAGGTTCGGCGATTGGAGATGTGGGTAACACATGGCATCTGATGGTACATCCGGGTTTGGCTGGTAAGGTTGTTGGAGACCTTGGGACAGCACAGTCCGGATCGCATACATGCTCAGACGAGTCCAGCTATCCTCCCGACGCTCTCGACCGTCATCTGCTTGTTTCTAGCTGTAATGATGATGAACGAACTTGCTTGTTTATGCTCTGTCAATCGTCTCATCGGCATATGCACATTTGCACTCGACATGTTGATCATCTTCACTACGACCATGCCGATGTGCTCGTTCAAGTATCGTCATTACTCTTACAGTTTCTCCTCTGACTCCGGTTAATATTGCTGGAGCTACCGGCTGTGAGTTTAGGTCAGAGCGCTCCTCTTTCCACAGCTAAGGCTTCAGCACCGAGGACGCGCTTGTCTACTCTTGGCATCAAGCTGGGCTTCCGGGGTTGAGGGTTTGGGTTTTGAAGTTAGAGTTTTAGGGTTCACCTGCAAGATAAGTCGCCCAGACTCCACCCCCAAACCGCAAGCACCTAGTCTCGCAACTGCAAATTCACAAGCCGAAGGCCTTAAAATGGGAGTTTCTGAAAATAGGGGACCCTAATATAGCACCCTAAATAGTAAGATCCGTATTATACGGATCCCGCGATAAGGTACCCCTTATTCTCGGAAACTCCGAAATGCTGATCCCGAGCCATTGGAGCTGCTAGAGACTGGAGCATCCTTCGGAGGATTTCGAACCGCCGTACTTCTCCCCGAAGGTGCTTTGCCAGTTGGTTTCGGACTGAAGGTGTACCCATTTAGGGGTTCGCGAAAGAGGGCTTGGGCTGCATTTCCAGAAGAACAGAGCTAAACCCTATTGTTACTGGGATGCATGCTTGGCATAGCAGGCGCTTCCGTTTCCGGAGCTTCGCCTTCGGGCAGCACTGGCATCCGCACCCGGGCTGGAGGGGACAGGATTCTCTTTAACAACGCCAGCGCGGCCATGGTTTGCTAGTTGCTGGGACAGCGAGCGAGTTTTAGGAGTTTACATATTTCATCTCACCAAGTACAGATGCATCAGTGACTTTTCGTCTGTTCGCGACTCTCCTGAAGACCTGGCGTTACAGCAACCTCGAGCTCTCAATCTTGCTTCAGCATAGAGACCTCCCGACCATGACGATGAATCCTTGGCACTTCATCCAAAGCTAGAACTCGTGATTCACTGCTCTGCACGTTACAGTACATCCACAGATGTGTTCCGAAGCATATGCATGTACCAGTTGTTGAATGCCATACATGTAAATCTATGAAGTCATGTATACATGCACGAATGAATGGTTTTGAGATTACGATAAGCCTACATACGGTTCATGCGCGCCTTGAGCTGCATGCCTGTCTGCATGCATCCATGCATGTAGACAGGTGTTTTAGCTTTGATCACCTGGTGCAGAATGCAGTAGAGTGTGTTCGACTCATCTGACCTAAACAGACTTCTAATTAACATCACGTTCGAAGCTCACAATGAACTTGTCCCAGGCCCGATACCCCAAATCCCCATTTTTGGCCTACAACCCCGAACCCCAAACCCGCAACTTATGTAAATACAAAACTGCTTTATTCCTTACACCCTGAACCCTAAACCCCTATGGCATCCTACGCCGTAGTAACTACGGCTTTTCGGACCCCGAAAAGCCCCAGAAGCCCTCCCCCCAAGGCCCAGGTCCTCAACTACGCAGCTCCGGCCTGGTTAAACCCACGCTTCGGGCGATAGGGCTCCTTAAAGGGATCTATAAGGGATGATCGAAAAAGGGATCCATAAGGGTTCTACAATGTGGATTATTGTGAGTGTTTCCGCTATTCAGGGGCACGTGATCTTGGGATCCTGATAATGAGGATCCTACAATTCAGGGTACTGTATTTGTCTCCCCTAATTTTCGGAAACCCCCATTATGGGATCTGGGATGTGAGGGGTTTTAGGAGTTTGAGGGGTCCGGGGTTTAAAGTTGGGGGTTTCAAGTCTGGGAAGCTTTCTGAATTTGAGCTATGGATGTTGGGAGCTTGTTTTCTTGTCGGGGATCCTCAACCCTCCTGGAACACTGCGTTTAGGTGTGTAAGTCCTTTTCTGAAGCATCCATTCCTTTTCCTGCCGCGGCCGGCCTGGATATGGGCCAGGCCACTCTTGCTGTGGGAGATCGCGAGGGCTGGAGCGCACTGGCAGGCGCATCATGTGTAGTTTTCCTCCGCTTTTGCGACAAGCCCACACCGTGCCCCTCAACCCAAGTTTTGAACAATCCTGGAACACATAAAATTACAAGGCCCTTACCCTCAAAACTCTGGATGCCCAAAACCCTCAACCCATACATCCCGAATCTGAAACCCCTCAACCCTAAACCCTAAACCCCTAAATTTCCTAAACCCGAAGCCCTACCCCTACACCCAGGCACCTCGTAGCCTTGAGCCCGGGTCCAGGCGAGATGGCGGGCTGCGGGACCGCAACCCTTCGACTTCTCCACCGAGTCTTTCAGAGCCAAGTGAGCCTCGGAGATGTCTCGGATGTACTTGCATTGGATTGCAGCATTGTTGCGATGGTGACGATTAGTATTACTGTTCTTATGCATATGTTTATTTTTTATAGTTTGCTTCAGTGTTTTTATTCTTCGTGCTATTGTTCTAATGATGCATCCTTCTTCGTATTCTTCTTCTTCCTGTTACTGCAATAATCACTGCTCTTATCTTGTTACTGTCATGACCATGACCATCATCACCATCATCAGCATCAGCATCATCAGCATCATCAGCATTATCATCATCATGGACATCATCACTAGGGCCTTCTGGCTGAGGGCCCCTCGTGTTCGGGGCTGTGCTTTTGGTTCAGGGCTCTGGTTCTCTCAAAACCTAGGCGCCTAAGCCCTACCCAAATGTCGGAGGTCGATGTGAGGGGCGGTTTTTTGAGTGAGTGTGTTTTGAGTGTATGCCTCAACGAGGCAGGCTGACGCTGTGCTTAACAGAAAAGGCCGATGCACCTTAAAAAAAGGCCCTAGCGCCCAGGAAGCGCTTCCACCCGACCTACAGGAAGGAGACTGGGTCGAAGTGGGGCTCCCGTTGTGCTGGTTAAGCGGGCCCTGAAGTATGAGAATAGGAGTTTCCGTATAAGAGGTTCCCTGATAGGTTTCTAAAAGTTTCTTGGAGGATTTTGTTGTTTTCATCGGGCTTGGCATAGCGCTATGAAAAAGTAGATATAGGTTCCTTGAGAGGGTTCTATAGTTCCATGAGTGTTAAAGGGCCTAAATTAAGTAAGTGGAGACTAGACAAGGAAGTAGTATGCGTAATTACCGGCTTCCTTCGCTACCCCTGAGCTTTCGAGGGGCCCATTTTTGTCCAGAGTCTTCAGCGTCATTGATGGGAGTCTTAACCCGGAGCCCCAGGTTGCAGTCAGGTTTGAGTTAACCCCAACCCTACCCCCAGGCTTCGGGGGTTTGCTTCCTTGAGAGGAGATCGCGACAAAGTTCGTTTCTGTCTCCTTGAACCTGCAGCCAGAAGGCTGCATTCCTGGGCTTGGTTTGGGCTGTCACAATCTTGCAGCCCTGGCGTTGTGTTGCTACCTAAAGAGTTTCGGAGTGCTACTCCTGAGTGCCGGGCTTGTCAGCTTGCAGTTGTGATACTTCTTGTCTCGACTGTTGTTCACTTCTCTTAGGGCTGGAGAAGCCTTTGCTCACCTGTCAAACCCGACGTTACAATCGCACCTGGGACATTACCGCGGGATAGGGAGTGAATATCATGTTGCCCAGATGGGTTGAGGTGAGCCTGGCCGCCCAAGAGAGTTTGCAGGATCGCATGTTACCCCCTTACCTTGTCTGTACTGTAGACATGCGCCTGTTCCTCAGGCGCTTGAACCCTCATTACTTATGGCCATGCCGGAGTCTTGCAGCTCTTATTTCATACCAGTACTATTTTGGGGGTTCGTTATTACAACTATAGTACACTGGGCCCCAAAACCCTGTTCTAATTATTCAGGTCACTATGTTACTCTCAGCCCGAAGCCCCAAAGCCGACAGCCGCTCGACGGGCTTCGAGCCTCGTAAGCCCTGGGAGGCCAGGCGCAAGATGCTCCGACCAAGCATGCCAACGAGGAAGCGGGTAATATAGGGGACTTAATAATTAGAATAGGGTTCCTTGAGAGGGTTCCATAAAGGTAAGCTTGCTGTTAGGGATCTATACTGTAAGGGTATTAGAATGTAAAAGACTTTAATAATTAGATAGTATAGGGTATTGGGTTATCGTATCTAATTTTTATTTGAAAAGCGATAGCCTTTATGATTGAGGATAGTGTGTAGATGTTGAGCAACGACACGGAAAAATACATCCCGCCAGTGGTCGACATGTCAGCAATTACATGTGACCACTGACTGCAGCACTGATCATGTCGTACTCCCAGGCGTATTGAAGAGCAACACTGCGCAAGACTAGCATAATGGTAACAGTATAGTCCATGATATCGACATCGGATCAAGCGCGAAGTGTTTTTGTTCAGACCGGTTGTTTCGGGTTCCGGCCTGCTGCAGCCAGGCTACTAGCAACATTCGTATGCGACTTTCGGCTTTTATTCAAGATAACTAAGATAACCTTATCGCTGATCATGTCCGCAAGCCCGTTTGGAGTGGTAGAATCAAGGTCCACCCTGACGCCGAAGAGGCCCGGAGCGTGAAGCCCGGCCTTCTAGTCTACTTGAGAAGACCCAAACGTCTTAGTAGCTGAGTGGATACACATTACACTTTTTGGGATAATATTACCTACTATAAAACTGAAAGTGTACACTTTTTGGGGTTTATGAACTCAGCAACTAGGGCTTTCTCTGGCCTTACAGTATCCGCCTTCCGCAGGAAGCCGCTGCCCCTCAGGACAAAGGTCCGCGGCAGCCGAAGCGGCAGCGTGCTATCGCGGAGGCCCGCGGCGCGGTCGGTTGCGGAACACAATTTCAGCGTTGCATCTCTTGCATGGGTAGTGAAGGCAACAATGGTCTCTCGTGCGTCCTATCACAGGTCGACAGCGATGACGACGATGCACTGATGGCCATGCTGGAGGCCGAGGCCTCCACGGGCGAGGCGTGCCTGTCAAGGGGAAATTTAGATGTGTGGGTGTTGCATCCTACTGCTGCTTCTGCTGCTACTACTACTACTACTACCACCACCACTCTACTACTACCACTACTACTACTGCTACTACTGCTGCTGCATAGTCTCGGTCGAACTCGGATATGTTGGGTTTTGGCTCCGTGTTCAGGGTGCAGATTGCGTCATCATCTCAGACCCAATGCGTGCACAGGTCCTGTTCCACGACGACTTCGCCACTTGGCCGCGCTTTGAGAGGTACTGCGGGATTTCGGGAGAAAGCAGCACCTTTTTTCCAGCACCTTTTTTCGACCCTCACACGGCGGGATAGAATAATGCTTCTGACTGTTGTCATTTTCATCATGAGTTTCATCCATGTCGGCATCCCCCACCTGCTCCTCATCAACCTCATGATGGCAGCAACCGTCAACACCGTCATTTCACTACGAGCAGTATTTCGGTACTATGCGTGGTGCTGCAACCATAAAAGTAGCATTGACAACAAAAGCATTAGCAACATCTTCAGCAGCACATGGTCAACAACCACAACAACAGCAGCAGCAGCAAGCAGAATAATAGGAATAGAAGAAGAACAACTCCAGCTACCGCTGCCACGGCCACCGCCGCGCCCACAGGGACCAGCACGACCAGCACCACCAGCACCACCAGCACCACCAGCACCACCAGCACCACCAGCACCACCAGCACCACCAGCACCACCAGCACCACCAGCACCACCAGCACCACCAGCACCACCAGCACCACCCGCACCACCAGCACCACCAGCACCACCAGCACCACCAGCACCACCAGCACCACCAGCACCACCAGCACCACCAGCACCACCTGCAGCACCGACAACACCAGCACCACCAGCACCACCAGCACCACAGCACCACCAGCACCAGCGGCATCACCACCAGCGGCATCACCACCAGCACCACCAGCACCACCAGCACCACCAGCACCACCAGCACCACCAGCACCACCAGCACCACCAGCACCACCAGCACCACCAGCACCACCAGCCCCACCAGCGCCACCAGCGCCACCAGCACCACCAGCACCACCAGCACCACCAGCACCACCAGCACCACCAGCACCACCAGCACCACCAGCACCACCAGCACCACCAGCACCACCAGCACCACCAGCACCACCAGCACCACCAGCACCACCAGCACCACCAGCCCCACCAGCGCCACCAGCCCCACCAGCCCCACCGGCACCACCAGCACCACCAGCACCACCAGCACCACCAGCACCACCGGCACCACCGGCACCGCCGGCACCACCAGCACCACCAGCACCACCAGCACCACCAGCACCACCAGCACCACCAGCACCACCAGCACCACCAGCACCACCAGCACCACCAGCACCACCAGCACCACCAGCACCACCAGCGCCACCAGCACCACCAGCACCACCGGCACCACCAGCACCACCAGCACCACCAGCACCACCAGCACCACCAGCACCACCAGCACCACCAGCACCACCAGCACTACCGGCACTACCGGCACCACCAGCACTACCGGCACCACCAGCACTACCGGCACTACCGGCACCACCAGCACCACCAGCACCACCAGCACCACCAGCACCAGCACCACCAGCACCACCACTAGCAGCACACCAGCGCCTACGCCCACACCTACGCCTACGACGACGACTACTACCGCTGCTCCTACTGCCTACTAACATTACTACGAGCGGATACGACTGGATACGAGAACCTTCCTCCTGCATTTCAAGCCAAATTCGAGCAGCAACCCCTGCCTTGCCGTCCCAAAGCATGCGAGGACCTCTTGAATGCTGCCGAGGGTGGCAGCGCAGCCGCCCATGCCACCCCCAAGGTGACGCGCAAGAAGAAGGCGGGTTTCAGAAGACTCTGACACATTGAGGGTGATGACTCTGCTTCTGCTGATGGCGGAGTGGCGGTGGTCGTGCTGCTGCTGACGATGGTATCGGTAATGGTGGTGATAATGACGCTGATGATGTTGATGACGGGGCTCCTACTGCCGCTGCTGCTGATGGTGATGATGAGGATGTTGTGACAGGGATAATGCTTTTGCGGGTGATGATGATGATGATGGTGACGGGGATGATGCTGTTGATGATGATGGTGATGATAATGATGCTAATGGTCGTGATTTTGATTTTGGTGCCACTGGCTGGTGATGGTGGTGCTGGTGATGTTAGTGGTGACCGTCATCATTCTGATAAAGAAGAGAAGATTTGTGAGTTTCGTTGCGTTTATTGTGATTTGTTCAACATCACTGCTGTCATTAGTATCATCCCAGCACCACTTCCACGATCCCTTTCATTGTTCTCACCATAATTATCGACAACGTCATCATCAACAACAACATCATCACAACGTTATCACCGTCATAATCACTGTCAGGATCACTAGATAATTTTGATGCTTGTCAGTGTGGCGTGGTTGTGAATTTTAAATCCAGCTGCTTCTGCCGCCGTCGCTTTAGTCGCTGCGGCTGTTGATTAAGCTACTGCTTCTGCTTCTGTTGCTGCTACTGCTCCTTTCTGTTGTCTGGCCAGGCACTTGGCAAGAAGAAGATCCTTGACTGCTTCAAACGAACCTCCTGTCGGTTCATGCTTGCATGATTCGGTCTGAGTCCTTGCGTTTGCGTGTCAGGTGTTGGATCCTCACAGCTGTGCCATGCACGACATATATTGCAGTGGTGGCAGAATTGTAACAGGTCCCGACGCTTACAACTCTGGAGCTATGATGTCCTGGGTCTCCAGATCTTCAGCTGCCCAAGAGCTGCATGAGACCCTGAAGCGCCAGCTGAAGATAGACGGAAGCCCCACATCTGCGTCTTCTGCTACAGATAGCAACGCGAGATCCGAAAGCTCTCGGGGTCTACTCGATTCCAGCCACACGAAAGCTAGAATTCGCAAGTCCCAAGCTCCAACCAAGCATGCCATCCCAGGAAGCTGCGGGCGGCCGCCAAGTTGTAGATGCGCACATCGCTTTGAAAAAATAGAGCCGGAATCAGGGCCTGCGACTTGCCGCTTGCATTCTCACATCTTGTACAGGTTAATTACATGAAGGTGCAGGTTTTTCACAGAGACGGGATCTGGAGTTAGAAGAGCATCGAGCAGTTGGGGCTGCATTGGGTTTGGAGCAGGACCATGGCTGGCTGTAAACAGGAGCAGCATCTTCGAAATCCACTGCTGTCATTCCACTTGAACGTGTCTTTGAGTAGCATCGGAAGAAGTGGACGATCCTGCCTCTTTCCATGAGGGTATGCTTGCTTCTGCAGTTTCTGTTTACCCCTCAACCCCAACCTGAAAGTAGTCTGAAAGCAACCCTCCTTCGAATCCTGTCTGTAACCCTTGAAGCAATCCTTCTTGCCGCAATAAGGAATCCCAATTGTCACATTGGACCCCAGCCCTCAAGGGAACCTACTATAGGGGCCTTAAAATAATTAGAGTAGTGTTTTCGGGCCCATTATACCATAATTATAATAAGGAACCCCCGAAATAGTATAGGTATTTATTATGGCCCCTATATTAAGAAGCCTGGTCTGACTCGCCAGTCGGCGGAAGCGGCTCCTGAGGCCGTGGGGCAGATGCTTCCCAGACTTTTCTTCTTTGAACCGGCTGAGCTTCTTTAAGGATACCATAATTGAGGGCTACTAAGGGTTTGGGGAGAATTTCAATCTGAAGAGCTTCGTTTTGATACGGATCAGGTGTCCAGCTTCGGATTATCCGTTGGGGGTTTCTGTTTAGGGCTTGCGAGGCTTTAGGATTTGGAGGATGAGATGACGCAGGCTTCCTCCAAAGATGACCTGGGCACATCAATTCCATCGCACGCGGGCGCACTTCTCATGGCAATTTGATCACTGAATCCTTGAGAGCTGTTTGCGCATGCTGTCCTATCACATATCCACACGCACACACACACACACACGTGTATGTATGTAATTATGTATGTATGTATGTATGTGCATAAACACATATCATAGCTGAGTGATGCATGCATACATGTACACATGTACACACAAGCATCTAGGTACACATACATATACATGTACATGTACATATAAACCCACAATTATGTATGTATGCACATCTGTGTAGACCGGCGTGCCTCCTTCTGCTCAAGGGCTCCGATTTGGTGCTACAAGTAGGATATGTTTCGACAGAAACCCCCAAATCGCAGATCCTGAATCTGCAGCCCTTGGTCCCGAGCCCTGAACCTCAAACCGCAAGCCCAAACCCCAGACCCCTCCACGAAACCTCCGAAGGCTTGAATACAGCACCCAAGAGCCCTGAATCCCGGTGCCAGGATGCACCAGGTGCGGTTGCCGCCCACCGCTGCACCTGACAAAGGGGGCCGAGGGGTGTGGGAATGCGACTCCAGAGTTTGAGGGAAGGATCAACTCTGCATAACAGGCTGCGATAAAGGTTCAGGAAGAGGTGTGCAGCTGACTCCGGTGCATGCTAAGCCACTTAATGTAGGGGCCTCCGCAATTAAGGGTATCACCCCCCTCCAGTCCCGAAAGTGGCTATGTTTGCATATGCCGTTTGTTTGCTTGCTCGCGTGCGGGGTGTATTTGTAACACCACAGCGTAGGATGGCAAGGCCTTGCGTGCCTTGGGGGTAGCTGGAAAGCTCAAAGAAGCTTCTGTAGCTCCTCAGTCATCGCAGACGTCGGAGCCTGAACTTTGACCTTGTGATTCCATTTCCAAGGGTAAAAGGAGGGACCCTTAATAAGGACCCCTAGGTATATACCCTTAATATAGCTATTACATAGCCCATTATATCGGTCCCCATTAAGGGTCCCTCCTGTTCCCCTTTGACAACTACCCATGTGTCCTGCGAAGCAGCGCAATCTCAGGCCGCCATGCGCGCGCTGCGTTTGGGAAGAACCCTGTCCCGTGCTGTTGTGAGGTGCTGACTGAGCTAATGAGACGTGTGGGAGTTTCCGAAAATTCGGGGGTACCGGGGTACCTTATTTTTGGGGTCCGTATAATCGGGATCCTACTATTCAGGGTACTCTAGTAGGGTCCCCTATTTCGGAAACTCCCATGTGGTCACGTTGGCTTGTCCCCCTGAACCCCAGCCTCAAGCAAACCGTCTTTGGCTACATCGGTGCGGTAGCACGATGCGCCATCGACCAAACAAGCCCTGAATTCCCAAACTCTGGACTCCAAGCACTAGGTGACCCTAAACTATGCCGTCTTAGAGTTTGCAGCCCCAAGGCGACCCAGCTAAGGGTGCAACTGTGGCCTCACCCGTGACAGTTTGATACTTCTAAATCGTAGGGTCCTGACCAATTCGTGGAGTAGGGTTTTCCGGGGTAGATTATACTTCAATTAGATACATTCAGAATATGGGTCCATTTTTAAAGGCTAGCGTTTCCGGTTGAGCATGCAAGGGTCATGTCACTGTTCAACTCGAACTCACAGCCTAACCGCCCACCATCAACGTGGCCAATAATTAACCAACACCAAACCTTGAATCCTTGCCTAGTCCATTCCCTGAGGAGGTCTGGAGCAAACTAAACTTTACACTCTCGCCTGCGTCTAGCGCTCGCATGTGCCCATGCAAAGCTGCCCCGCCGTCGGAGCGAAGAGAATGTGTGCCTAATAGTAATAATACTACTAGCAATAATCATAGTAATAATAATATGATAGTAAAAATAGTAGCAGTAAAATATAATAATAACAATCATAATAATAATCATAATAGTAATAGTTATAAGAATAGCAAGAATGACTTCATGTAACGGCACCTCAAACCTTAACAAAGGCGGCCTCGACTCGCAATGCTGGGAGGTGCCCGACCTCGTCGGCACCGCTGACAAGATGCCTGGCGCCGGCCTCAAGAAAAGCTGATGTATGCTGCTTTTGAAGGTTGGACGACTCAGAGACTCAGGGTCCTATCTTGAACATAGGTG